TTGTATTGGATACTACAGACTATGACAGGAGATTGTCTGTGCAGGTCCACGTCTAAACAATCAAATTTGTACATATCAATTTTTAAGAACCGGATTTTCTTTCCGAACTTTCGGGTCGCATATCCGGATAATCGGATATACCGGATCTACCTTCAAACATACTGTTTCAATTCGATATTAAAAATTATTGATTTCGCTTTGACAGAATTAGCTTTGCAGATGTTACTGTGGAAGGAAGGTATTCAAAGTTCGGCCCGGCCGAACTTACAGCTTTTTTACTTGTTTTATTTGAATACATTTGTCTGGTATTGCCATATAGTCAATACAAAATATGGCAACATGAATTCCGTAAACTTTACGGTAAAAGATTAGGGCCGGTTATTAAATCTTTCCTATATATATAAAAAAATTATATAGTCGGATAATTAAATCGTTTTAGTAGTTTCATTTAAATATGGATTGTCTGATATGCAAAAGGTCAGACCAACTTTCCTTTATCTTTTAACGTAAAGTTTACTGAATTCATGTTGCCATATTTCTATATATTTTATTTATTCAACTAAAGAATTGGGTACTGCTATTCGCTTATTTTATATTGAAGAACTGAAAACTAGATTTATTTCACGAAATTAATTACAAATTTGTTTTGTTTATTATTTTTAAACTAAAATGAAGAATCCGTTGTGAAAAAAAATGATGTGACTATGGAAAAGCTCGCTGGCCAGAGTTGGGAGAATTCCCCAACCGTCGCTTCAGAGAACTGACTAACCCTACTGATGTTCGGGTGGTAGAAAGGATTTTCCGAAACATTATCAAACCTGCAGCTGATCACTTTATACCTGTTGGCCAAATACCCGAGATGAGAACAAATTTCCCAGCAGAGGCAGCGGGATTAGCATATAAGCGTGATGATCTGCGCCGTTCCAACCCCATTAATCCTAGAATCAGTTATTTGACAGTGAAAGACAACTGGTTGTTACAGGAGCATAAGAGGAGAAAGTGGCTAAACCATCTGAAGTGTTACAACATTGAAACCGATATGTGTAAGCTGTGGGTAACGATTAGGTCGCTCTTGAACACTGAAAAAAAGAATGATAGAACCTCAGTCATTTTTACCGACAATTTGTCGAGCATCCCAAGGGCGAAGCGAAGAGTACTGCGTCGTATCAGATGTCTTCCTGTCAAGATGAAACCACCACAGTTTACGATGAGTGATGTTGCAAATGTCATCCGGAACTCTAAGTCATTCAAAGCGTTGGGCCCAGACGGAATCTTAATGGTAACGCTGAAACAATTGGATACGCCGGGAGTTGAGTACCTGACGAAAGTGCCTAACCTGTCGCTAACCACTCAAATAGTTTCCGAAACACAACAAGCCGTGTGATAGCCCTTGACCTATCAAAGACTCTCGATACGGTTGTCATGCTACACTGCTTGAGGACGTGCAGAGAACTACCCTCCGGCCAAGTTTGAAACGTTGGATAATCAACTATATGTGTGGACGGCAGTCGTACGTGGAATTCTGGAACAAGAAGTCCAAAGCCAGGGAGTTCCCAAAGTTGAGTGATATCTCCGGAACTGTTTAACCTTTCCGGAATTCCTCATGTATCACCGTGAAAGTCATCCCAACCATCATATGTTGGAAACAACTCCCCCACCCAGGTGTGTCAGGAATTTACATACATGATCTATAGAGGGAGGTCCAACGCTATAAGAGGGAACCTCTATATCAAGAAGCCTTTCAGTCGGGTTTGAGTGTGGCATTCATACCGATGGAGTCGCAGATGCTACCAGCAATTACAGGATGAATGACGTCCTCGGAGTCCAACCCCCTCCATTGGAGCTTGAGAACGACTTCTGCCTAGACAAACCAGGGTAGTTTTGGCGCAATTAGGTTCAGTGGTCTCAATTCGTATTGCTTGGCGTGTGATACAGGCCCGCACAATACGCAAATGTTATTATACATAGGCATAATTTGAAAGATAAAGAAAATACCAACATCAGGTCAAATAATGGGGTAGTTTTGGCGCAATTAGGTTCAGTGGTCTCAATTCGTATTGCTTGGCGTGTGATACAGGCCCGCACAATACGCAAATGTTATTATACATAGGCATAATTTGAAAGATAAAGAAAATACCAACATCAGGTCAAATAATGGGGTACATTTATGATTTTTTTTTGGAAAATCATTAAATAAAAAAATACTCCAAACATCGAAAAAGATCCATTTTGGGAGTCCACAATATTTTTCGAAATGCTACAATATGTGTTACTATCTTGGACAGGTACCTTCATTAGATTTCAAATAATACACATATTGTCCATATCGTTTTTGTAGGTCCGCTACCTACCAAAATTATAATGTTTAGAAAAACTATGGATCGCGTAGCCGGTGTTGGACATACCCTAAAGGAGAAAACCTCAAGCCCCGGCCGAAGCCCGGCTACCTACCAAAATTACAATGTATAGAAAAACTATGGATCGCGTAGCCGGTGTTGGACATACCCCAGGGGAGAAAATCTTAAGCCCCGGCCGAAGGACTGCTTAGTGGAGAAAATCTCAATTTCATAATTTGCATCACATATATCTTTGTAACTATAAGAGATATCAGCACATATGCTACCATTTTGGAAAGGCAAGAATATAGGCTATAATATAGCATGTAGATCTTAATACACCATAATGGGTCTATTTTCAAGTTTGTAGGTGTTTCTCAAAAAGTACTGGTATAAAAATACCAATTTTCTTGCATTACTCCGGAATCGGTTCCAATAAACCTATCATATGACAACTTGTTGGATAGGTAATTCCATAAGCTTTCAAATGATATCCATTTTGTACATTTTGTAGAACCGGATTATTATGTATTCGAACTTTCGGGTCAAAAAACCAGGTAACCGGTTGTTTCCCCCACGAAAAAATTACTTTCCCTTAATCAGGTTAAAAATACCCACCTGCGGTAAAAATTTCAAAATGATCCGAGCATAGCCCCTAAACTCAACTTGTTCCCAATTTTGTCCAGTCGTCTGCACCTATGCGCATATTTTTGTATTTGTATATGTATCCTCCATATCATAATTTCGAGAGAGTGAAGTTGACTACTTTTAACATAATTTGATGACTTCTGGGATACATATCGTCGATGTCATGCTGCAATGGTTAGTTTTGTACATTTTATGGATAATTTAAAAATGAAATCTGCTATTTAAAATTTTATTTGCGAAAAATCATTCTGAAACTGAATATATTTTGTTTCCAATTCAGTGGCTCACGCTACAATATGAACCGGGGTTTCGTTTTTTTAAATTATTTTTCAGGCGACTCCAACCGTGGTTTTGGTTCGGTTCAGTGTTATGTGTAAATGTTTACATATCCAGTTCCCTACACAAATTGCTTGACAAATTTCATTAAATTAGTCTCTAAGGCTTTTTCGACACAAATTCCCAACTTTTGGCCATAGCTTGTAGAACCGAACCATTTTTTATACCCTCCATCACATAATGTAGGGTATATTAACCTTGTCATTCCGTTTGTAACTCCTAGAAATACTCATGCCAGACCCAACAAAGTATATGAATTCTTGTTCTTCGTGAAATTCTAAGACGATTTAGCGATGTCCGTCTGTCCGTTCTAATCACGCTATCTTTTGAACATATTGAGATAGAAGCTAAAAATTTACAGACATATGGATTTTGTCAGTAGGCAGGTTAAGTTCGTCCGTCCAAATTTCCGTATAGCCGCATGTAAAGGTACTTCTCAATATTCATAATTTTATGGGTTTACCGACATTATAGATCGTATTGGAATATATTAATGGATACTACAACTTATGACAAAGTACGTATGCAGGGTAGTTTTGGCGCAATTAGGTTCAGTGGTCTCAATTCGTATTGCCTGGCGTGTGATACAGGCCCGCACAATACGCAAATGTTATTATACATAGGCATATTTTGAAAGATAAAGAAAATACCAACATCAGGTCAAATAATGGGGTACATTTATGATTTTTTTTTTTTGGAAAATCATTAAATAAAAAATACTCCAAACATCGAAAAGACCCATTTTGGGAGTCCACAATATTTTTCAAAATGCTACAATATGTGTTACTATCTTGAACAGGTACCTTCATTAGCTTTCAAATAATACCTATATTGTCCATATCGTTTTTGTAGGTCCGGGTCTCACATCCAGGTCCGTCCACCAAAAAACCTTATTAATCATATTACCGTAGTGGGGAACTTGAGGTTGTTTCTACACAACATTAAATTCTAGGTAGCCCTGTAACAGCATTGCCTAAAATACTACGTAGCGTACACAAATATACAATTTCCCCACTGTGGTTAAATGTTTTGTACGTCCGTATTACCTAAATACATCAGGTCCGTATCTTAAAATTTACTGAAAATAACGTCCTTAATGTACATACTTTATAAAATTCACAGCATTTGGTATCATTTATTTATATTTTCAACACACACAGAAAAAGAAATTGTGCAATTGTCATTGTTGAAAATGTTCAAATATGTACGCCTCACATTTTTGGGTAATTCTCATATGAATACACGTCTTTAAATTGTATAGCGAAAAACGTCGAATGAGTACGTCGAATTTTAGATAAGGATGTAATATCCCCAATCTAAATATTTTTGTTTAGAGTAGGTAACTCTAAACATAAAGCTTGAAAGTCAAGTTTTATTTTTTATAAACTCAATGTTTTGAAAATGAAGTTGGATACAGTAATAAAAAGTTTCCTATTGATATTAATTCATAGGGGTAAGAATTCCGTAGTTTCAATTTTGTCCAGTCGTCTGCACCTATGTGCATATTTTTGTGTTTGTATATGTATCCTCCATATCATAATTTCGAGAGAGTGAAGTTGACTACTTTTAACATAATTTGATGACTTCTGGGATACATATCGTCGATGTCATGCTGCAATGGTTAGTTTTGTACATTTTATGGATAATTTAAAAATGAAATCTGCTATTTAAAATTTTATTTGCAAAAATCATTCTGAAACTGAATATATTAGTTTTCAATTTATGTTGGTCCGATTCAGTGGCTCACGCTACCATATTAACCGGGGTTTTGTTTTTTGAAATGATTTCCCAGGCGACTCCAACCGTGGTTTTGGTTCGGTTCAGAGTTATGTGTAAATGTATACATGTCCAGTTCCCTACACAAACTGCTTGACAAATTTTGTTAAATTAGTATCTGAGGCTTTTTCGACACAAATTCCTAATTTTTGGGCGTATCTTGTTAAACCGAACCATTTTTATACCCTCCACCACTTGTGTAAATGTATACATGTCCAGTTCCCTACACAAACTGCTTGACAAATTTTGTTAAATTAGTCTCTGAGGCTTTTTCGACACAAATTCCTAATTTTTGGGCATATCTTGTTAAACCGAACCATTTTTTATGCCCTCCACCACATAATGGAGGGTATATTAACCTTGTCATTCCGTTTGTAACTCCTCGAAATACTCATGAAAGTATATAAATTCTTGTTCGGCGTAAAATTCTAAAACGATTTAGCGATGTCCGTCTGTCCGTTCTAATCAGGCTATCTTTTGAACATATTGAGATAGAAGCTAAAATTTTGGAGACATATAGATGTTGTCAGTAGCCCCATGTAAAGGTACTTCTCAATATTCATAATTTTATGGGTTTAGCGACATTATAGATCGTATTGGAATATATTAATGGGTACTACAACTTATGACAAAGTACGTATGCAGGTCCACGTCTTCGTATACCCCACATATAACGGTATTTTGATTATATAAGTGACGTTATTCAACGGAATCCTTTCCAATTTGGTACTTGAATGTCCTGGAGGGTACTACAGCCTATGACAAAAATTCCTTCCAAATGGTCGCGGGTATTAAAAGTTCGGCCCGGTCGAACTTATGTGCTTTTTTACTTGTTACGATTAATGTCAATATTCTCTTCAATTTTTGTGTTTTCTAAATTCATAGACGCGGCAAAAGAGAGTGAATTGAGAAAAATTATTGGTTGCTGTGTTACAGATAATTCATGGACTTGCCTGTGAAAAATTCAGAAGATGTGTTAGATGGTATCACTTCTGTAAACCATTTCAAAGGAAGTGCACATTTCCGCAGAATTAGATTGTAATGTAATGAAGAATTAAAGGTGTCTGGTTACCCTAAAGTTGCTACAAAGTAACGCAAAATTACTAAAAAAGAGACATTCTTCAAAAAGATTTCTACCATAGACAAATGAAGATATAGACAACGAAATGCTATCACCGTTTATCTTCGAAAAAATCGGATCAGCAGATGTCGTATATAGCGTTTCAGGGGTTTGAATGGGAATATTGAAGTCACTCAATTCTTAAATGTTAAAAATAAAAAAAAACTTTAGGATATTTGTCAGTTGAAAATTGTTCCATAATAAAACAAATGTGAAAAGTACGTGAACACATCGAAATTTGAACGCGTAAATCTGCATGTTGACTATGCAAAAACCTAATGAGAGCCACCTGGATAAAAAGACAAAACTCACTTTTCATTGTCTATATGTTCATTTGTCTATGTTTCTACTTGCGAAGATTTGCAACTCTTTTTCTTGCGGCGAAGTGTTTTGCGCAAACAGTTTTAAAACTTTTTTTATTTTAAAAATGCAAGAATAATTGTTTAGTTTTTAGCTGATGTTTAATTTTTGAGTGCTGTTCATAATATTGCTATTAATTTGCCCAACACTGTTGGTTGGGCATTTACCGGCGGCCGCATAAATGGCATCATAACAAAATGATGTAAATAATGTAAATACATACACATACACACATACATTTATGCAGCCACCGGTAAATTCCAATGCTGAATTCTAATAACTAAGCATCGTCAACAGCCAAAACAGGTTTGATGTGACGATGCAAATTGGACAATAGTTAGTTCTCATGTAATTACCGTCGCGAAGACAAGTTCCCCCCGTGTGACAAGTGTTAGTGCGCAAAACAAAACCTACTAATCTTGTAATTTTACAAAAAAAAAACAGTGAACATTTAATCATCAACACTACAAAAAAAACCAAGAACATTGTTAATATTAAAAAGTGAACAAATAAATTGTGAAACTATATAACTTATATGCTAAAACTTACAAACTAATGAATTAAAACTATTTAATTTAAACTTAAAATCTATTAAAATAAAACTTACAAATTAGTGAATTAAAACCCAAATATAAATTATACAAAATAATATTACTTAAACTAAATTGCACTACCCCAAAAAATCTAAATAAAAGACTGAACTAAAACTGAAACAAAAAATATATCTTATAATTTAAACAGGCAAAAAGGTAAGCCTAAAAACATTTGGTCCTCCAGAGCCGGATCAAAAAGTGAAAGTTTTTTAAATTATTAAAAACAAAAAAGAACAGTGAGAAAAAAGAACAGTGAAAAATACAGTGCGGTGCAAAAATAAGTGCAAAGAAAAAAGGTTTTGAAAAAAAAATAAATAAATAAAAAAATAAACTTTAAAAATAATTACAAAAAACAAAATAGACAGTACACAGTGCAACAAAAAGTGAAGTTACACAGTGCTACAAAAAAATAAAATTTTTTAAAATTTTAGAAAAATTAAATTTTTTCTTTAATTTTAAAAAATATAAAATCTAAAAAATTAATAAGAAGTTAAAGAAGTTTTAAAAGCAAAAGAAAAGAGTGACAATCAACAAGAGTGGCATAAAAATTTAATTTACAAAAAGACAACACACGTTGCTACAAAAGAGACAATACACAGTGAGACAACTTACAGTGACACAAAGAACAACCACAACACGGAGAATTTTGGAGCCAGCAGTAGGACGGACACACGCAGCACAACAACAACAAACAAGGTACAACATCGAGACCCGGAAAAAAACCCAAAGTGAGTACTCGTGAAATTTTCTTTTTTGACACAAAAGGGCATTTCGGGAGCAGGCAAATCTTCAATATTTGCATTGACCCGCATATTCCCATATTTGGCAAGATAATTTTGACACATATTCAAAGCTGCTAGTTGCCCACTCTGACACAGTGAACGAAATTTTCCATTTGGAGCCATTTTTGTGGACAGACATTTGGCTATTGACCCGGAAAAAAGGAAAAAAGCAGAAAGACACATATTTTTTTCAAAAATAGCGGGAATTTTCAGCCATATACAAATATATATATATAAAAATTTTGGAATTTTCTGAACGTGGAGTTCAGGTGAATACATAAGCGCCATATTGACACAAATACATAAGCTTTTAATTTTGGAAAGTTGGCGTCACTTAACTTGGCAAACATATAAACGCCATATTGCAAAAACTATATACAATTTTTTGGAAAAAAAGCGTCACTTGCAATATATAGTCGCCATATTTTTTGGAAAAATTTGGCGTCACCCGAATACATAAACGAGTAAATAAAACCCGTTTAAAAAATAGCATCTGGTGGACAGACATACATTTGAAAATTAAACTACAAATTTTTTGAAATTTTTGGAGAAAAAAATTGGCAAACAAGCAAGCGTCTGGTGGACAGACATACATTTGAAACTTAAACTACAAATTTTTTTGAAATTTTGGAGAACAAATTTTATATCGGAGTCTGGTGGACAGACATAAAATCGATCCCATATATTTACAATTTTTATTTTTATTCTAATTTTAACCTTTTTTCCCATTTAGCACAATATCTATTGCTCTAAGGAGCTTAAAAATTTTTCTGTGACCCAAAATTAATTTCTTGCATTTTTCGCAGAAATATTTTGCTGGTATAATTTTTTTTGATTTTGTGACACATAACACGACAACTTTTTGGAAAAAAAAAATCTCTTCATTGACATTTTTTACACTTTCTTGAATTCTTTGCTGAAAATATTTGGATTTTGACCCAAATTATTTTCTTTTGTAATATTTTTCTGGGACATAAACTTTTCCGCTGAAATATTTGGACCTTGACCCAAATCAAATTTTTTGGAAATTTTTGCTCAAATTTTTGGATTTTTGACCCAAATTATTTGTTTGAAATATTTCTGCTGAAATATTTGGATTTATACATACATAATTTCCTCTAATTCTCGTTGCGAATTTTATCAAAAAAATTTGGCGAATTTAGAAAATTTGTTGAATCAGACAAATTTTCACAAGCAATAATCAAAGTTATTGGCTTTTTAAAAATAAAATCCTCCTGTCATAGGATATTAAGTGATTTTAACAAAAAATTTAAATTTTTTTTTGACAACCCAACACACATTTTTACTTCGTTGAAATTTTTTTTGGACTCTCTGAAATTTTTTGGAATTTTCAACTTCTCGTGGACAATCAAATTAGACTCTCGTTTTTTTTGAAGAAATTGTTTACTGCGCAAAACATCTCTGGTAATTTCTGCTTTGCAATTCTCGTTTAAACACTTTTGTTTTAAAAACTTTTGATTATTTGTCGAATTGCAAAAATAAAATCCTCCTGTAAGTGGACTTTAAGAGATTTTATTTTCCTTTTTGCTCATTTTGGCGAAATTCTGACCCTTCTGGCAACCCAGCAAACATTTTTAATCAAATCAGTCCGGCGTCTAATACAAAGGAAATTTTTTGAAAATTTTCAAAAATTTTGAAATTTTTGAAGGAAACGAAATATAATTTGACTCAAACCAATAAGATAAGATCGTTTTCGTCGACAAAAATTGGAGAAAGAAACTTATCCTCATTTTAGAAATAAAAATTTGGATAAAAGTTTAAATTCTAAACCAAGTTAGTCCTTTTCGTTGGGCAACTTTTCTTTTTTGTAAACCAACAAAATTTCGTAAAGGTTAACGCTCAGTTTTCAAAATGGATAAAACGTTAAGCGATAAATTCACAAATTGCGTCAACGATCTTCTGGATTATATTTCAATTTTTTCAATAACCAAACCTGATGACACGGTACATACTTTGGAAACAACACGAATGGAGTTGGACTCTGCATGGGACCAGGTCAAGAGAGCCTACATAGACTGTCGGGATTATGTTCCAGAAGAGGAAGGAAAGCCGATCGATAAAAATAAACTGAGAAAGCACTATATGGATACCATGGGATCGTACAAAAAAGCGCTGAGTTCAATAAATGGACAAATTCAAAATATTTTGGATGAAAAGACACAGGAAAAAATGAAAAGAGAGTCAGAGATGTCACAACAAGGAAGGGAAGTGGATTTCACAAACGTATCGCGGCTACCTCCATGCGATACAGACACATTTAAAGGTGGTTACAGAGAATGGCCGACTTTCAGAGATCTATTACTCAAAATTAAGCAATGTCGAAAAATTATTCCATTTAACGCAGAAGACAGCAGGAGAAGCTAGAGAAATTATTTCACATGTCCCACTAACTAATGATGGATTTACATTAGCATGGAAAAATCTCACAGATCGTTACGAGAATAAAAGAATGCAAATTAATGAAGAAATCAAGACACTTTTTAATCTACCTGGAGTTTCTGCTGAATCAAGTCACTCTATTCAAAAACTACAACGCACGGTAAATAGCAGCATTCAGACACTGGGGATACTTGATGTCGACGTTAAATGATGGGATCCGATTTAAATATACATTTGTTCAACAAAATTACCTAGAGGCTTTTTAGAAGAATTCGAGAACTCATTAAGCGATTGTAAACAAATTCCAAAATGGGAACAGTTTGACGCTTTCTTAACAAACAAATTCAAAACTTTGGAATCAGTTGGTAACATAAAGCCCTCTACATCGAAATTTGCTCAACAAAAACCAACTAACAATCACACGCCTAGATTTTTGAAAACATTTCAGACAAATGTCTCAAAAAATACAAACAACTTTGGAGGAAGACCTACTAATGTAATATTACCTCAACAAAATAAACAGAAAAATACTCAAACTTGTCAAGTCTGCAAATCAAATCATTTCATAAGAGATTGCAGCGAATTTTTGAAAAAGAGTGTGAATGACAGAATTCACATCGTGAAAACATCACACTTATGCTACAATTGCTTGTCATCAAATCACGGAGTAAAGGATTGCAAAAGTCGCTTTGGCTGCCGTATTTGTACTATGAAACACAACACTTTGTTACACAAGGGAACGGAAACCCAAACAACTAACTCATACCTAGCTCGAGTGGAAGCACGACCTAGTACTAGTGCTGCCGCTCTTACAAATCAAATACAGTCCACTACAAACCTAGAACCAACTACTATTACTACTTTGACCCTCCAAGATAAGCAAATTTGTGAGCGACAATCTGGAGGAACACTACTCTTCACAGCAATAGTACAAATTGAAACCAAAGGACAACTTTACGATGCCCGAGCTCTAATAGACTCAGGATCACAATCCACCTTTATTTCGGAAAAGATGAAAAACTTTTTGAAGTTGCCTACACGGAATAACTTAGTTCATGTCACTGGCTTAAGTCAATTTGTTTCTGAGACTTCAACAAAATCTTGCTTGTTTACTATGAGATCCAAATACGACCCTAGCTTTAAACTGGAAGTCTGGGCTCCAGTTTTAAAGAACTTACCTTCAAATCTACCACCACAAAACTTAGATGAATCACAACTTCGAGATGTAACAGCATTAGAACTGGCTGACCCGAAATTTTACGTTAGTCAACCAATCGATTTACTTATTGGAATGGACATAGGACCATTAATATTCACAATTGGAACTCCAATGAAAACATTTGTATCAATTTTAACACAAAAAACCAAATTTGGATGGATAGTTGCAGGACCCATACCAGGAAGCATCCTTCAACGAAAACAAATATCACTTCTAAATACAACTTCAATAGAGAAAGTACTTACACGTTTTTGGGAGGTGGAAGAGACCCCTAAAAAAGTTTTACGGTCAGAAGATCGAATCACGACAAAGTTAAGAGTCGTCTTCAATGCTTCTTGCCCATCATCAAACAAAACAAGTATCAATGACATATTGTTTCCGGGACCCATTTTACAACAAGATTTGGTACTACAAATTCTAAAATGGAGATTTTTTAAATATGCCTTCAATGCAGATATAACAAAGATGTATCGCCAAATACTTTTGGATTCAAAGCAAACGAAATATCAAAGAATTCTCTTTAGAAAGTCTCCGGAAAACCCAGTAGAAGATTATGAGCTGCTAACAGTTACATTTGGAGTTAACTGCGCACCATATTTAGCATTGAGAACTCTTCTTAAACTAGCAGAAGATGTAAAAGAATCATACCCTAGAGCCGCAAATATAATTTTGAATAATTTGTATGTTGATGATGTATTAGCTGGCGGTCACACTGAAGATGAATCAATAAAAGCTCGAAAAGAATTAACTGCTGCTTTAGACTCTGCCGGTTTTACACTAATGAAATGGGCATCAAATGATCGCAAAATAATACAAGATATTCCACATGAACATTTGCTACCACTCAATTGGCTAGACATTTCCGAAGATGCTTCAACTAAGACCCTTGGAATTCGATGGAATATCTCAGGCGATTATTTTTCGTTTACACCACCCTCAATGGAAAATAAAAATGTATCTTCAAAACGAGAAGTTTTATCAACGATAGCCAAATTGTTTGACCCATGTGGATGGCTGGCACCGGTAGTTGTCGTAGCTAAGTTAATAATGCAACAAATCTGGCTAGACAAAATTGACTGGGATGATCAATTAAAGCCAATAACACAAATGAACTGGAACAATTTTGTCAAAAATAGCAAAGATATTGAATATCTCAGAGTTCCTCGATGGATTCAATACACGCTAGATGGTTCTGTAGAGATTTGGAAGCCAAAATGGCAAAAGTTATGACTCTTTTCGCTGATGGAGATGACCCTTTAAAAAATTTCTCCTCTTTATCTAAAGTTTATCGATCATACGCATATGCTCTAAGACTCTGGAAAAATACTGGAGCAAATAGGCAACACCTTCGAACCTCATCAAAAGACCTTACTTCAGATGAAATCCAAGATGGAAAACGATCTTGCATAATTCGTACCCAGAAATTCGTATATGCAGACGAATACAACGCACTTATGAAAAAGACTCAAATTTCTCCTTCAAGTCCTCTCTTGACACTAAACCCGTTTATAGACTCAAAGGGTATTATTAGAGCAAATGGCCGATTGGTACAATCGCCAGCCCTTACCTATAGCGAACGTCACCCAATAATATTACCACATGGCGCAAAACTTAGCAAACTATTAGTCGAATTCACTCATAAGGTTACTTTACACGGGGGTAATCAATTAATGACCCGAGTACTAAGGTCCGAATTCTGGATATTTGGACTCAAGTCGCTTATCAAACAAACCATACGAAAATGTCGAATCTGCTTAATTCACAAAAAACAAACCCAGACTCAAATAATGGCTTCGCTACCACCCGAACGCACTTTTCTTTCTCGACCCTTTACAAACACAGGGGTAGATTTTGCAGGACCCTTTAACATTAAAAGTTATTCAGGAAGAGCCTGCTTTATTACAAAAGGCTACGTGTGCCTGTTTGTTTGTTTCGCCACTAAGGCTATACATTTAGAACCCACAAGCGATTTGTCGACATATGCCTTTCTTGCCGCTTTTTCTAGGTTTATTAGTCGGCGAGGTTGCCCGTCTTGTATATTTTCGGACAACGGAACTAACTTTGTGGGAGCGGTTGATCTATTAAAGCGAGATAGATTAGCTTTCATGAAGAATATTCAAAATAGCACAATTCAAAATAATTTCACTCAAAATCTTACTTGGAAATTTATTCCTCCTGGTGCTCCGCACATGGGCGGCTTGTGGGAAGCTGGCGTCAAATCATTTAAAATTCATTTACGAAAAAGTATCCCAAAAATGAATTTCACTTTTGAAGAATTTACAACTATTTTATCAAGAATTGAAGGCTGTCTTAACTCACGACCCTTAAGTCCTGCTAGCGACAACCCAAACGACCTTTCCCCTTTGACACCTGGTCATTTCTTAATAGGAACACCTATTCTTACCCCAGCTGAACCAGACATTTCAGACACAGATTTAAGCTTAGTCAATCGTTGGAAAAGACTCAAAGTTATTTCGCAATATTTTTGTAACAGATGGAAGTTAGAATATCTTCACGAACTTCACAGAAGAACTAAATGGAAATGTGAAAAAGAGAATATCAAAGAAGGAGATTTAGTTGTCGTAAAAGATGATAGATTGGCTCCGCATGAATGGAAGTTAGGTCGTATCGAAAAAATGTATCCAGGTAGTGACCAAAATACCAGGGTTGTAGACATACGGACGGCAAGTGGCAACATTAGCAGACCCATTACAAAAATTGTCAAATTGTTTTCCGACTGACTAGTCGGATTCCCACTCAAAAAAGAATTTAGTACTCGCCTTAATTTCTTTTCAGATATGGTTGCTTACTTGCCCAACCAGGACTGCCGTCTGGACGATCGCAACCGTAGCCCAGACTCACCTGCCCGTCCAACAGCAAGAAGCGCCAATCGACCCATACGGCCAATCCATCGTCCCAGTTCCACATCCCCTGAAAGACGTCAACGAAGCCGATCCGACGCAAGACCCCGCCAACGCCAAGAAAGACCAAGTTACTGGCAGTATTCATGTGGGCTCTGCCAAGATGACCATGCCCTCAGTGCCTGTGAACGATTCCGCAGACAGACGCCCTTCCAGCGGTATGAGACCGTGGAGCGTCGGGGATATTGCCGCAATTGCCTGGCGAGAAGTCATTTGGCCCCCGACTGCCCGTCTTTAACTGGTTGCCGGAGATGCAACGACCGGCACCATACCTTACTGCACGGGGCGTCTCAGTTGGACGAGGTATCCCTCAACATCGAGGCCATTACAACCCCAGCCTTCGCATGGGATTTGGTGTTTGTACCAACAGCGATGGTACGCATAACGGCCGAGGGCATGGAGGGTTTTAGTATGCTGCGAGCCATTATTAGCCAATCTGCGACGATGTCCAAGATTTCGTATGCCGCGTTCCGTCGCCTGGGTCTGCAGTCGCGAGAGTACAAAGGGGAGCGATTCACCACCTTCACCGTTTCGCCCCGCCGCACAAACAGTACTTGGAGTCTGAAGGTAAATGCAGTAATTATCGACGATCTCCCCAGACGCATTTACTCAGACCCAATACTAGAAGACCCCACGAGATGCTTTACAAATTACGCCCTTGCTGACCCTGATCCCCGAGGAGGAAATAGTCCAATCGATGTGGAACTGGGAGCGGACACGTACTCCGCCATAAGGAAAGATGGGTGTACAGCAGCTGGAATTGGAGATGTCCTGGCCTACAACACACAACTGGGCTACGTGTTTGCTGGGCCAATCAAGAACATGCCGAGGAACTGAAAACCGAGGATCCTTATGGTATATTACAAATGAATACTTACACTTGTCATTCGGGGCCCAGAAAATGTTCATAATATTGCTATTAATTTGCCCAACACTGTTGGTTGGGCATTTACCGGCGGCCGCATAAATGGCATCATAACAAAATGATGTAAATAATGTAAATACATACACATACACACATACATTTATGCAGCCACCGGTAAATTCCAATGCTGAATTCTAATAACTAAGCATCGTCAACAGCCAAAACAGGTTTGATGTGACGATGCAAATTGGACAATAGTTAGTTCTCATGTAATTACCGTCGCGAAGACAAGTTCCCCCCCGTGTGACAAGTGTTAGTGAGCAAAACAAAACCTACTAATCTTGTAATTTTACAAAAAAAACAGTGAACATTTAATCATCAACACTACAAAAAAACCAAGAACATTGTTAATATTAAAAAGTGAACAAATAAATTGTGAAACTATATAACTTATATGCTAAAACTTACAAACTAATGAATTAAAACTATTTAATTTAAACTTAAAATCTATTAAAATAAAACTTACAAATTAGTGAATTAAAACCCAAATATAAATTATACAAAATAATATTACTTAAACTAAATTGCACTACCCCAAAAAATCTAAATAAAAGACTGAACTAAAACTGAAACAAAAAATATATCTTATAATTTAAACAGGCAAAAAGGTAAGCCTAAAAACAAGTGCTTTACACCTTTTTATATCTGAATTTTTATATATATATATATATATATATATATATATAGATATATATATATATATATATATATATATATATATATATATAAAGCTGTTTCAGTAAAACAATTGGTTCCCTAAACATAAATAATATAATTTAATTCAGTAAAGATCATGATTTTTAAAGAACTGCTACATAAGAAGAGGTTACAGTCTACTTCAAGATGCAGTGAATGACATGTATTTATTTTTAAATACACTGGATGGATAGACAAAAGTACGAAGTTGGACAGGAAGAACATTCCATATCCGAGCAACCCTTACAACAAATGATCGTTCAAACATTAAGGAGGAAAAACGTGGAATAACAATCTGGGTATGACGGGTTGAATGCGAAAAAACAAAACTGGTCCGCAATACTACAGGAGAGTTAGACCGAATAATTTTATAGGATAATATTAATAAACGTTGCTTAACATATGTATTGAAAGTCGAACCTAAAAATAGTATCGAATAATTTGAGACGTGATCATAACGTTTTAGTCGATAAACGAAAGGTATTACCATATTATGGAGTTGCTCAATCTTTTTAATGTTCTCTTGGCAAGTTCCAGAAACAACCTCAATGCAATAACTAATTCTGGACATAAGTAAAGCAAAATCTAACTGCTTTCGAACAAATTGATGCAAATACATGTTATTACAATACAATTGACGTAATGTAGACATAACAACTGCAAACAGAGACTGAATATGGCTATCAAAATGAGTTTATCATCAAGAATACAGCCCAAACATGTCATCTCATCAACACATACTATGCTAGACTCATTCATATTAATTTGAAGCCTAGGACTTAATATACATCTCGTTGGTTTAAAAAATATATATTTAGTTTTTTCCACATTAACAGAGAAGTTGTTAACTATAAGCCAATGATTAATAGACTCTAAAGTGGAGTTAATATCTACTTCGAAATTAGAAATCAAATTATTCTTAAAAAACAAATGCATGCCGTCAGCATAAATGAACGGTGCACAAGGGTGACTACTGATCTCGTCTGCGAGATAATTTATATACAATATAAAAAGAAGTGGCCCCAAAACAGATCCCTGTGGGACACCACTAGTAATAACTAGCTCCCTAGATGATGTTCCATTAAGGCACACAAACTGTGATCGGTCATGCAGATACGAATATATTCATTTACAAGCAGTGCTACTAAACTGAAAGTTATTCTTCAACTTTTGTATCAGCAATACTATCGACCCTGTCAAAAGCTTTCGATAAATCAAGAGCTACAAGTACACCAAAACTGCCTGCATCAATAGCCTCCCTTATCGTATCCGTGAGATGTTGAAGTGAGTGACACTGCTATAACCACGCCTGAAACCGAACTGAAAATCGCTCGGTAACTTTTTATCTTCAATGTAATCCAAAATTTGAAACTTCATAAGATGCTCTAATACTTTAGAAATTGCGGGGAGAATACTTATAGTACGTAAACTTTCCATACTATTACATCCTTTGTTCTTGGGAATAGGAACCACACGTGCCCTTTTCCAACAAAAGGATAGTTAGACGTCATTAAAATAGTATTGAAAAATCGCACAAAATAGGCCGATAAATATGGATGGACAAGCTTTAGAAACTTTACAGGTATGCCATCTGATCCAACAGCTTCGGACTTAATAGCACCTAAGGCACGAATAACGTCACTATCGCCTTGGCCAAGATACCCAGTGAGATCCACGGGTCTCGGTCTGAAGGAGGAGGGAGAATGGACAAACAATTCGTTGAGAAGATTAACATCAAACGTATTCTCAATAGAATCTGAATCCTCTCCCAAACAACCGCCAGCACGTATCTTTTTCCACATTTCAGCGCAATTCAGACCTGCAAACAAAGCGATGTTCGTCCGTCTGTGGAAATCACTCTAGCTTTCGAACGAATTGAAGTAGATTGATAAAACTTGAAAATGGGCCATGTATGTTCACGTTTTGGTATAGCTCCATATGACGGTACCTCCCGATATTCGGTATTTTGACGATTTCAGCGACAATACTCATCGGAATTCTTTCAAATTTGATATTTGATGTTTGTATTGGATACTACAGACTATGACAGGAGATTGTCTGTGCAGGTCCACGTCTAAACAATCAAATTTGTACATATCAATTTTTAAGAACCGGATTTTCTTTCCGAACTTTCGGGTCGCATATCCGGATAATCGGATATACCGGATCTACCTTCAAACATACTGTTTCAATTCGATATTAAAAATTATTGATTTCGCTTTGACAGAATTAGCTTTGCCGATGTTACTGTGGAAGGAAGGTATTCAAAGTTCGGCTCGGCCGAACTTACAGCTTTTTTACTTGTTTTATTTGAATACATTTGTCTGGTATTGTCATATAGTCAATACAAAATATGGCAACATGAATTCCGTAAACTTTACGGTAAAAGATTAGGGCCGGTTATTAAATCTTTCCTATATATATAAAAAATTATGTAGTCGGATAATTAAATCGTTTTGGTAGTTTCATTTAAATATGGATTGTCTGATATGCAAAAGATCAGACCAACTTTCCTTTATCTTTTAACGTAAAGTTTACTGAATTCATGTTGCCATATTTCTATATATTTTATTTATTCAACTAAAGAATTGGGTACTGCTATTCGCTTATTTTATATTGAAGAATTGAATAATAGATTTATTTCACGAAATTAATTACAAATTTGTTTTGTTTATTATTTTTAAACTAAAATGAAGAATCCGTTGTGAAAAAAATGATGTGACTATGGAAAAGCTCGCTGGCCAGAGTTGGGAGAATTCCCCAACCGTCGCTTCAGAGAACTGACTATCCCTACTGATGTTCGGGTGGTAGAAAGGATTTTCCGAAACATTATCAAACCTGCAGCTGATCACTTTATACCTGTTGGCCAAATACCCGAGATGAGAACAAATTTCCCAGCAGAGGCAGCGGGATTAGCATATAAGCGTGATGATCTGCGCCGTTCCAACCCCATTAATCCTAGAATCAGTTATTTGACAGTGGAAGACAAATGGTTGTTACAGGAGCATAAGAGGAGAAAGTGGCTAAACCATCTGAAGTGTTGCAACATTGAAACCGATATGTGTAAGCTGTGGGTAACGATTAGGTCGCTCTTGAACACTGAAAAAAAGAATGATAGAACCTCAGTCATTTTTACCGACAATTTGTCGAGCATCCCGAGTGCTACAGGGCGAAGCGAAGAGTACTGCGTCGTATCAGATGTCTTCCTGTCAAGATGAAACCACCACAGTTTACGATGAGTGATGTTGCAAATGTCATCCGGAACTCTAAGTCATTCAAAGCGTTGGGCCCAGACGGAGTCTTAATGGTAACGCTGAAACAATTGGATACGCCGGGAGTTGAGTACCTGACGAAAGTTCCCAACCTGTCGCTAACCACTCAAATAGTTTCCGTGTGATAGCACTTGACCTATCAAAGACTCTCGATACGGTTGTCATGCTACACTGTTTGAGGACGTGCAGAGAACTACCCTCCGGCCAAGTTTGAAACGTTGGATAATCAACTATATGTGTGGACGGCAGTCGTACGTGGAATTCTGGAACAAGAAGTCCAAAGCCAGGGAGTTCCCAAAGTTGAGTGATATCTCCGGAACTGTTTAACCTTTCCGGAATTCCTCATGTATCACGCCTTTGTTGCAGTACCTGCTTGGGTGTTCCTCCAACCATCATATGTTGGAAACAACTCCCCCACCCAGGTGTGTCAGGAATTTACATACATGATCTATAGAGGGAGGTCCAACGCTATAAGAGGGAACCTCTATATCAAGAAGCCTTTCAGTCAGGTTTGAGTGTGGCATTCATACCGATGGAGTCGCAGATGCTACCAGCAATTACAGGATGAATGACGTCCTCGGAGTCCAACCCCCTCCATTGGAGCTTGAGAATGACTTCTGCCTAGACAAACCAGGGTAGTTTTGGGGCAATTAGGTTCAGTGGTCTCAATTCGTATTGCCTGGCGTGTGATACAGGCCCGCACAATACGCAAATGTTATTATACATAGGCATAATTTGAAAGATAAAGAAAATACCAACATCAGGTCAAATAATGGGGTACATTTATGATTTTTTTTTTTTTGGAAAATCATTAAATAAAAAATACTCCAAACATCGAAAAAGATCCATTTTGGGAGTCCACAATATTTTTCGAAATGCTACAATATGTGTTACTATCTTGGACAGGTACCTTCATTAGATTTCAAATAATACACATATTGTCCATATCGTTTTTGTAGGTCCGCTACCTACCAAAATTATAATGTTTAGAAAAACTATGGATCGCGTAGCCGGTGTTGGACATACCCTAAAGGAGAAAACCTCAAGCCCCGGCCGAAGCCCGGCTACCTACCAAAATTACAATGTATAGAAAAACTATGGATCGCGTAGCCGGTGTTGGACATACCCCAGGGGAGAAAATCTTAAGCCCCGGCCGAAGGACGGCTACTTTAAAATATTTAGATACATATTAGTGGAGAAAATCTCCATTTCATAATTTGCATCACATATATCTTTGTAACTATAAGAGATATCAGCACATATGATACCATTTTGGAAAGGCAAGAATATAGGCTATAATATAGCATGTAGATCTTAATACACCATAATGGGTCTATTTTCAAGTTTGTAGGTGTTTCTCAAAAAGTACTGGTATAAAAATACCAATTTTCTTGCATTACTCCGGAATCGGTTCCAATAAACCTATCATATGACAACTTGTTGGATAGGTAATTCCATAAGCTTTCAAATAATATCCATTTTGTACATTTTGTAGAACCGGATTATTATGTATTCGAACTTTCGGGTCAAATAACCAGGTAACCGGTTGTTTCCCCCACGAAAAAATTACTTTCCCTTAATCAGGTTAAAAATACCCACCTGCGGTAAAAA